AAGCGATAATAATTTACGGCACAAGAGCAAAACACAATGGAGGCCGAGTCGTGCTCCGAAACGCAACCAAAAGCCAAAAACGAAACGTCGACTAAGGACACAGGCGCATAAAAGTTTTTATTCCACACACAATGCGGGCCACAGAAATTGCAGCCAGCCGCAAAATCCTGCATACAAATTATGCAATTAGGCGGGTGAGGAGCGTGAACGGCTAAAATTGAGACCAAGACGGATATTATGTTCTTAAAAAACTAAAAGCTCAGGCAAAAGTTTTTCCGCCAGTTATCAAATTCGGGAAATTGTCTCCACATCCACTCTCTTTCTTCGCAGACAAGTCAGCGCTTTGAGCATCAGTGGCAGTGCCGTATCCCTGGAAAATAGTCAAAAATCCCTGACAAATTGTCAACGAAAGTTTATTCTCTGGCGAAAGTTGGAGTTGGGTTCTTGGCAAACTTTTCGCTGGCTATAACTGCTGACAGTAGTAAAAATAATATTGCGTATACGCAGCGTTTGCTAGCGGCTAGGGGCAATGATGAAATGCCTCCCGGGTCAAAGCAAACACTGTAAGTGAAACGACGGCCAAAAAATGATGCCAAGCTTCTGCTGAATGGGACAAAAGTGCCAAAACTTTTCCATTCAAGTTGCAATTAGCTGGCGGACTTTGGGGCCACCGAAAGCCCAAAGAAACTGGCTTAGAAACCCAGAGCTGCCGGAACAGACAATGACAAGTGGAAAAACAGGTCTCAACTTGAGCAGAGAGCACCGCAGTTGATTGACTTTCTTTTGGCAGGGAGCCGAGCGAGCGAGCATCAAATAAGGTTCTATACATGGCACTCCACGCCAATCACGGGGGAAGGGAAAATTAAATTTTTATTTCAGCTTCATTTTGCATTTTCGTGGCAAATTCAATTGTAGCTGCTGTTGCCACTTCCTGTTGCACTTTGTTACGCCACCGTGCCACTCCGCAGCCACTCGACTTCTCCTCCACCGCATTCTTTTGCTCGGTTTCAATTAGATGCCCTCGCTATCTGGCTTTCCCCGTGCCCCACTCCCACTTCCTCTCCCAGCCAAAGTTGGCTTCAAAGTTTATGCAAGTATTTCCTCGTATCTGAGCCAGCACCAAAAACAAAACAGAAACAGAAGCTGCAGCTGAAACAGCAGCCAAAAATACTTATTGCTCGCGAATAAACGGAACGGCGACTGCAAATACACAGACGGCGAAAAGGGGCGAAAATAAAAAGCCAGCGAACGGAAATGAAATTGCAATTGGTGGCCCACACAGACGACGCCAAGTCGCGAAGCGTTGATGCGCAGCAAGAGCTGAAGGAAAATGGCAAGTTTGCTTTGCTTTTGCATGTTTTTCGCTGTTTTCCTTTTTTGGCTTGGCTCGCAATGCCATTTCCGGTACGGTCTCATATTGCGCCGTGGCGTATGCAATAAAGTTTGCGCAGCGACAGAGCTACAGGCGAACTTCCAAGATTCGAACCGACTTTCGGTAGCAGAGAAAACATTAAAAATAATATATAAATACTAGACACGTATTTGTATAAGCTTTTGCAAGAAACATGATGCATATTTATTTCATATTTGGTTTTAGTTTTTTTTTAGACAAAGTTTAGGCTGTGCAACATAGGGGAAATAGCATAGCAATAAATATATTAAAACAAAAATTGTCTTAACTTTAAACAATTTTCATAAAAAAACAAACATTCTCAATGTAAAGAGTACATAGTAGGGTTTGGTATTAAAAAAAAGCCTTATAGAAGTACATTATTCCACGATCACGACCTATTCCCACATAAATGTCATGCCAGATTTTTTTTTAAAGTAATTTTAAAGTTATGCAGACAATATTACATGAAACTTCGTCGCATATTGTCTCAAAAATTATACGGAATCTAGAAATTTTCAACTAACGGAAGTTGAACTGTAAGTAAGTGTGGCTAGATTTTAAGCCCGGCAACCCGCTGGCTGGGCCACGCTCCACCATTTCAGCCATGGCCGCAAGGGCTTAATCAGGCGCAACTTTTTAGAAGAATTTTCCCCAGGACCACTCTTAATGTCACACCCACACACACGCACACCCAAGGGTATAGCGGGCACCCACACAATCACGCACTACGACTATAATGGATATGAAGCTATGGCTGCACACAGGAGCTCATTAGTTGGGCGGCTGCGGCGCTTAAGCTTAAGCTGCGAGCGTAGAAATTGTGCAGCTTTGGCGCTAAACAAGTTAATTAGTTTGCCTCTCTCTTTTTTCGCCATCGCCGGGAGTTGGGCTTAACGACAAAATAAATTATTTGCCGCACACACATAAGCGCCATGGAGACTTCAATTGACTTTATTAAGCGAGCGGATCCGAGTGCGTGTGGGCGTGCTTGCGCTTTAATGACACTTTTCAGTCAGCTGCCGTCGCCTCCGTCGCCGCAGCTTCAACTTACGTTTATTATCCCGGCGACAGGAAGCCATATCCTGGCACAATGGCGGGCTAAGTGTTTGAGTACGAGTGCAGAGGCGTGGCAAATGGGATCCCATCTAGATTCCGACTTTGATCTACGGCATATTAACCTCCACTCTGCGAACTTCTCCCGGTTTCTTTCTCCTTTCTTCCTAATTCAAAATTAATTTTCATGTCGTCGAGGAGGCCGGAGCAGCCGCACCCATATCTGGTCACCTGTGCGGCCCACTGTGCAGCTGTGGCGACATAAGGAGACAAGGCGGCGCAATTGCCTCTGTGTCTCATAAAAACACTTTGTTGTCCCCAGCCAAATACATGTGCCGTACTTGGGATGGCGCTACAAAAATACACTCGGCCGAAAAAATGGGGAAAATAATCTGTTGAAGGCAAGAATAATAATATTTTCTTGCCTTCAACATATTATTTGTGAGAATTTGTGTGAATAGATTTACGAAGATTTATTTCTAAGAATTTAAAATTTGTCAAATGGAAGGCCTTTCTTTTCATAGTAAGGATTTGAACCAGATTTATCTATGTAAATAAAACTATATACATATAAATTATGGGACTTCATTTTTAAAACAAGAGAGAAAGCTAATTTCTGGAAGCCAAAATTTGTATACTCGAATTTTAAATCGATCGTTAGTGTTCCTAAAATTCATTTATTTTAATTCTGAAAGGTTTTCTGTTTTGGTTTCTTATTATTTTTAGCATTTTTTTGTTCTTCTTTAGCAGAAATGCTAGATTAAATCAACTCTTTTTGATGATTAATAAAATATAGAATTTAGAGGTTTGGAAATGACTCCGTTACTGCGTTGTAAACTTCTGACTAAAATAATAATAATAATATATTATAATAATATGCAAGGGTATACGACTAGAGGCTGTATTTTCAGTGCCCATATGTACTCCAAGGGAAGACCATCTCTGCTACAAGCCTAAGCTCGTTTAATCTGGGATTTTAATTGCACGGCCATAATGTTCATGAGGCTTCCGGCTCAGGACATCGAGCCGCAGCCGTCACAAGTAAATTGAATTTAATTAGGAACGAGTTTTTTCATTGTGATTGTTGTTTGGGTTTTATTTGTCATAAACTTCGGACGGCAATAAAAAATCGCTGATGCCGCCGAATGCAAATGAAAGCTGCTTCGAGGAGGCGCGTCAGCCCTTAAAGGCATCGCCAACTTTTGGAGGCTCTAATTAGTGTGAGTGGGCCATTAAGAATTTGCTCAGGTTCGAGGCATGTGAAGTGGCTTAAAGTTTGCACTGAGTGTAGGGCAAAGAAATTAAAATTGAAATGTAAAAGTTGCCAAACTTTTTCCCACACACACACACACACACACTTACGCGGAAATTTAAAATGCAAAGCAGAACCGAGGAGGAAAAAGGAAATTCTGGTTCCAGCAGCCAGCAGCCAGCAGCCAGCACCCAGAACTTGCCTTCAAGTGGGCTCGTGGCAGGTGGGCTGCAAAAACTTGCTGCACATTAAGTGCACTTTCGAAGGACCAGACTGGAGGCGACGGAGGGCAAAAAAGCGGGCATGGCTGCGCTGCCAACTGCCAGCAGCTCATTAAAAGTAAAAATGATATGCATTAAGTTGCCGGCGGTAACGAGAGCGTTAAAGGGCTGGACTGCACTCATTATGCCAAACTGACGCCACTAATGGTCAGTGTTAATTGCGTGGAAGGCATTTGGCATGCAGACCCACAGACCTTTGGACCCCCCACCTAGCCTGACATTCGCCTGATAAATTGTCATAATTCCTGGCCGCACAAAGGACGGGTCCCTGGGCTCTCTCGGCCCCCATCAATACATATTTCATTGCCCTGACACATGCATTAACATGTCTAATCGGCACGCACGGGTCACAGTTGCAGCCAAAACAGAAACTGGCCAAAAGGGGGTTGGGGGACGCTTTTGAGAGCACGTAGCCATTATTCATTCTGCGGCCCCAGCATAATTTATTGCCCTTGGCACCACTCACATGTCAGGCATTCCGAAGTGCTGCCCAACTGACAATTTGCACAGACTGACATGCAGGAGTTTAGCTCCTCGCAGCCCCCCTCGAAGCACATCGTCGGCGAGAGGGGCCTTAAAATTTATTTTGTTTGACTAACTGACAAAACTCACTCCCACCTGTCTCGTCTGCTCGGCAGCAAACTCGCCGTACGATGCTGTCACATCGATGACAGCCCTTAGTCCAACGACAGAAAGGGCCAACGGGGCGTATGCGCTATGTGCCAGCAAAAGCCAACACGGGTGTGAGTTCCCTGCAGTTCCTAATGGCCTGCCAAGGGGACAATCTCGCTACAGAATCGGTGTGCTCTTGATGGCCCAGAAGCCGAGGGCTCCCGCACCTAAAATCCCCTGTGGATTAGGGATAAAGAGTCGATTACTCAAAGTCCGGTTGAAGCTAAAGCTGCGAGCTAAGTGATACCGCCTATTTATGAAGGGCTCTTACAGTGTTTTTGAGTTATTTAAAGCAAAGTTTATTCATGCTGACCAAGTCCAAGTTTTTCTTTTAATATTACACATTGTGTGAGTTTTAAAGTATCAAAATATATTTTTAAGGTTATAATAGAACCCGGGCTAATGGGTTCAATAAACCCAACCAGAATTGGGTATTTACTCGACTATAAACAATAATTGCTCGGCATAGACAGGAGGTAGATTTTGACTGGCACTGACCACACCTTTGTCTAGACAGAAGCTAGCGTTAACTTCTTTAAAGTATTTGGCCAATAGCAGCAGCGGCAGTTCTCGACTTTCCTCGACTTCCTCATCCAGCAGTTAGGCAATGTAAACAGTTCATTAACAGGGGTTAACAACCTCTCGGTGAACGGCGCTTCTATGACGGATGAGTTAACAACATTTTCAACCCTCAAAAAATTAACATTAAACATGGAAATAAAGTATCCTTGATAAACAAGAAACTTTAATAGATATACTAGACCTCAGTGAGGTTGCGAATAATCTTCTTGTAGACCTCAATGCCATTCAGGTAAATATCTGCCTGCAAAAATTCATCGTGATCGTGGATCAGGACAGGAGTGTTAATGATCGGAGAGAAGCCAATGGCTGGCGTTCCCTGCTGCCGAATAAAGCGGCAATCCGTGGCCCCAAAGCACACGATGGGCTTTATCTTGAGGCCACTGAAATAAAGGGATAGATAACATCAAGTCTTTTTTGGAAGCCAGGGCATACTCACAGTTCATCAGTGGCTTTTTTGAAAGCTAACCAAAAGGGGTTCGAGTCGTCCAGCTTGGTGGGTGCCACATAAGATTCCTTTTGGAGGAACTCCAGCTCAATGCCGCCGCCCGCCTCCTTGCACCATTCACGGATTTGCTTCTCAAAACCAACCAAGTCCAGGGTGATAGACAAGCGTATATCGAAGATGGCCTCAAAGAGCGGTGGAACCACATTGCTCTGGACTCCACCACTCAGCTGGGTTAGATTCACAGAGGTCACATCGCCAATGACCAAGTTTTGGCCGCTCTTTAGTCGTTGACTCTGCGACTCGCGAAACTCCAACAGCTTGTTCAAAACGTAGTTCAGCTTTACGCCGGCGGTGTTGGGCAGCAAAAGGGAACCGTGGCCAGAGGTTCCACTGACCTTCAATTTGAGAACTGGAATGGAGCGAGCTTGATGAGCTTACTCTCAGAGCTATAGCTCAAGGACTACACTAACCCCATCGAATTCGCTCAGCGTAGAAGAGCAGATGGACATCACTTGCGCTTGTCGCTCCTTCGTCCATGCTAAATCCCACATTCATCTGTTTGTAGTAGTCCGTTTTGACGAACTCCGCCACTCCAAGGACGCCGCCCGTCTCCTCGTCGGGATTAAAAGCCACGTAAACAGTGCGCTTGGGTTGAAAACCACTGGCCTTCAGCAGGCGAATAGCTCCAAGATACTGGGTGCCCACCGATTTCATGTCCTGAGTGCCACGGGCAAAGATTCTGCCCTCCTCGTCCAAGTCGGCGCTAAAGGGTTCGTGGGTCCACTTATCCGGAAACACAGGCACGACATCCATGTGGGAGTTCAGGATGATCGAGGGCAGCTCTGGAGCGGTTCCCAGCCACTTAATGATCACCACGGGCTTAGACTCAACTGCTGGATAGACCACATCCACAGGGAGTTCCAGGGAATCAGCTTGGCGCCTTATAAATTCCACGCAGGCAGCTAATAAGGAGCTAATTAATGACACTATCCCCTGTAAACTTCAAAGCCTTACTATAATCGATGTCAGGATGCACGGAAGGAATTCGCAAGTATTCGCGGAATATTTGAATTTCCTCATTCTTCTCCCATTTCTCAATAGTCATGCTGAGGAATTTTGTTCTTAACACAACGAGAGATAAACGGCGAATAAACGTTTAAACTCAACTTTTGCCTTTATACGTTCGTATCTTGTGATTTAAATAATAATCGGGTTATCTTATCGGCTTAAGATAAAATGTTTATAAGCAAAGCCAGAGAGAGGTGGCCATAAAAAGGAAGGGGGTGGTGTCTTTATTTACTATAATTTCATGACTTTAAATTTTATATTCATTATTTTTCTATTACCATCAAAGGTACAGAGAGCGGAGACCAAGAATCGGTGTGCTGTGGGGATGCAAGTGATTTGAGCGTGTTGCCGAGCCCGAAATCCATCGTACTGGGGTCGTCGTCTGCTGAGTCCTGTGGACACTGGAATGCCGAGAAAGGACGCTGCTGCGTCGGGAGGCTGGGTTAGCATCAGCTCGGGTTAGTTCATCGGGTCGGCCGCTAGCTTCGGCGGACTCTTCGGTGTCGTCGTTCCGGCGGGTGCAGAAGATCGGCCGAGGCTTTCGCGTCGGCGGCTTCTTCTGTTCATTGGTGTTTTTGACCGTATTTTTTGGTATCTTCTTCCGGCGCCGTTTGGGAACCACCGCACTGTTTTCCTCCGTGGATTCCTCTTGATACATATGACTCAACTCCCAGAACTCCCTGGCACCGCGAAACCTCCGGAGCCGTTCGTCTTGTTGCAAAATATCAAAGACCAGCTGGAACAGACTCAGCTTCCCCAACACCAGAAGGAGTCCTTCCAGGTTTACGGGACAGATGCTGCGGCGGTTGAGCTGGTGCAGCATGGTCATAAGGCGGTTCTGCTGGTCGGGTACCAGCACCGCGAACATGAATATCAGGCGCATCACCTTGTAGGCATTGGTCCGGTTCAGTGGATCAATCGGCTGCCCACAGCGGTCGTGCAGGCTGTCGTAGATGGTCAGGTCGAGCAGCTCCGTGTACGGCGATTTCACGTTCTCCATCACCGACCAGACGCGGTCGCGTGGATAGCGGCACATCGGCTTGACCTCGTCGCAGGCCAGGCGGAAAAGTGTGGCCAGAACCTGGAACTGGCTGATGCGGAACAGGCAGCTTAGCGAGTACACTATGTACTTGTTCCGCATATAGTTGCTGCACAACTCCTTCTTCGGAATCTGGCTGCACAGCTCGCACTGGGAGTCTGAACTGCAGCAGCAGTGCCTCTTTGCCGCACGCAGCTGATCCAGCAGCACCTGGCAACCGGGGCGGCAGCATTGCGGCGGCAGGCAACCCATACAGCACACTGGCGGAGCAGAGCACATCGTAGCCTCCTAGTGAGGATAACTTACAATTTTAATTGTCTTCGTGGAGAGATACAAAAAACTAGGATCAACAACGAATTTTATCTATCGATTCTACTCAATTTAAGCTATTTGCTGACAATAAATAATAATAATAAAAACTAGGCCAACGTTGTTCCATACAATATAAATTCCCATAAAAATAATTTACTTTAACGATCAACGAGTGTTTTTATGATATTCTATTATTAGTGCTCTCTTGGATATATCTTGAAGATTAAAGATGTATCCGATAAGATTCGTTGGCTATCTTTATTATTATACCTCAGCCAGATTGCGAATAATCTTCTTGTAAACTGCAATGCCGTTCAAATAGGTGTCTGCCTGCAAGAACTCGTCGTGATCATGGATCCGCACGGTAGTGTTTATGATGGGTGAGAACCCAATGGCGGGGGTTCCTTTTTGGCGAATGTACCGGCTGTCGGTAGCACCCGGACACACAATGGGATGGACCTTCAGGCCACTGAAAGTCCACAAAGTTAATGTCGAGTCTTGAATATTAAAAGATGTGTACTCACAGTTCGTCGATGGCGGCTTTAACAGCCAACCAGTAGGGGTTCGAGGAGTCCAGGTGGGTGGGTCCCACATAGGGTTCCTTTCGGAAAAAGTCCACTTCGATGCTACCACCCGCCTCCTCGCACCAGTCACGGATCTGCTTTTCGAAGGCAACTACATCTACGGTGATTGCAAGACGCACGTCAAATACCGCCTCAAAGAGCGGTGGCACCACATTGCTCTGCACTCCGCCACTCAGCTGGGTGAGATTCACGGTGGTCACATCGCCTATGTTGATGCTGGAATCCCTCGCCAGGCTCTCCACCTGGGAGGTGCGGAACTGCGTCAGCTTGTTTAGCAAGTAGTTAAGCTTCTCGCCAGCGGTGTTGGGCAGCAGCAGAGAGCCATGACCGGAGGTTCCACTGAATTTCAATTTGAGTCCTGCCGAGCAGGGGAATGGGTCAGTGTTTACTCCAACTTGGGGCATATTCCGAACTTACCCCATCGCAAACGCTCGGCATAAAACAGATGGTGCACATCGGTGGCGCTGGTGCCTCCTTCGTCCAGGCTGAACCCCACGTTCATTTGCTGGTAGTAATCCGTTTTGACGAACTCCGCCATGCCCAACACTCCGCCAGTCTCCTCATCAGGGACGAAGGTCACGTACACGGTCCTTTTGGGCTGGAAGCCGCTGGCCTGGAGTTGCCGAATAGCCCCAAGGTATTGAGTGCCCACTGACTTCATATCCTGAGTGCCACGGGCGTAGATGTTGCCCTCCTTGTCAATGTCGGCGGCGAAAGGATCATGGGTCCACTTGTCCGGAAACACGGGCACCACATCCGTGTGAGAGTTGAGAATAATCGATGGTAGCTCTGGCTGGCTTCCCAGCCACTTAATGATCACCACTGGCTTCGACTGGACCGCTGGGCAGACCACATCGACGAGGAGATTCAAGGAACTAGCCTGACGCTGAAGGAACTCAACACAAGCAGCTGAAACGATTTAATATTTAGAAGGATTTAAATATAGTTCGAGAGTCCCTTACTGTAATCCACATCAGGGTGTACGGTTGGAATTCGCAAGTATTCCCGGAAAATTTTAATTTCTTCGTTGTCTTCCCACTTCTGCGAACTCATTTTGCAAGTATCCCGTGCAGCAATCTTTCCTCTGGCAGTGAATATCAGCGAATGCGAGCCATTCGAGATATCGTGGGCTTATATATTTGGGCTGTTCTTATTTAAGATTTAAGTTCAAGGCAATAAAGTAATTGTAAAATGTGTTTGTGGTTGATAACAGCTTTATCAACGAAACCGCAGTTCTATTACCTACATAAAAACCACTTGTCTAGGAGGTCTCCCAAAATTGTGTTATCTCTACTTCAAACCGAAAACTGGGTTGTATTTCTGGATAAATAGAATCAATTTCTACCAAGAATGATCAATCAACTGTGTTCTGATTGATGGCTTTTGTTTTATAATGGTTTTAGTGGGCTTTCCGGCGTTGACGTTTTGTAACCGAATAGACTCTGTAGTGTGTATCTTCTATTATCTCTAGATTCTTTAGATACACGTTGATATCTCGTCGCGAAAACATATTCGCTTAATAAAACCAAGATTAGATAGGGAAGTTAGGTATTTTCATATCAATTTGTGCAAAACTGATCAATCTTTAATGCGATAAGGTTTCCATTCTATAATTCGAATTATTTTCAGACTTCGGCCAGGTTGCCCAGAATTTTCTTGTATATTTGAATGCCCTTCAAATAGGTATCCGCTCCCAGAAACTCGTCGTGATCGTGGATTCGCATGGTGGTGTTCTTGATGGGCGAGAATCCCAGGGCTGGGATGCCCTTAGCGCGAATATTCCGGCTGTCGGTGGCTCCGGGACAGACAATTGGGTAGATCTTCAGGCCCCTGGAATACATTTTCGGTAATTAACGCTTCAAGGGACATGAGATTCAAGCTTACAGCTCATCCGTGGCAGCCTTAAAGGCTAGCCAGAAGGGGTTGGAGTCGTCGATCTTGGTGGGGGCCACGTAGGGTTCCTTCTCGTCGAAGGAGATCTCAATGCCGCCGCCCGCCTCCTCGCACCAGTCGTGGATCTGCTTTTCGAAGGCAACCACGTCGAGGGTGATGGACAGACGCATGTCGAAGACGGCCTCGAAGTGCGGGGGCACCACATTGCTCTGCACTCCGCCGCTCAGCTGGGTGAGATTGATGGTGGTCACATCGCCGATGTTGATGGTCTGATCCCTGGCCAGTCGCTGAACCTGTGACTCGCGGAATTCCGACAGTTTGTTCAGCACATAGTTCAGCTTCATGCCGGCGGTGTTAGGCAGCAGCATCGAGCCGTGTCCAGAGGTGCCGCTGAAGTTCAGTTTGAGTCCTGCGCAAGATTGGAATCTGTCTTAGTTTCCCCCTAAGGCTGCCCAGGGTTGTGTAAGCTTACCCCATCGCATTCGCTCGGCATAGAAGACGTAGAAAAGGTCGATTTCGCTGGTGCCGCCCTCGTCAAGACTGAATCCCACATTCATGTTGGCGTAGTACTCCGTTTTGACAAACTCCTGCATGCCCAGTTCCCCGCCAATCTCCTCGTCCGGCACGAAGGTCACGAATATGGTGCGCTTGGGCTGGACACCGCTGGCCTTCAGCAGGCGAATGGCTCCGAGGTACTGGGTGCCCACCGACTTCATGTCCTGTGTGCCGCGGGCGTAGATGTTGCCTTCCTCGTCGATGTCGGCGGCGAAGGGATCGTGGGTCCACTTGTCGCGAAACACGGGCACGACGTCCATGTGCGAGTTGAGGATGATCGAGGGGAGCTCCGGCTCGGTTCCTAGCCATTTAATGATCACCACTGGCTTACCCTCCACAGGATGAATGACGTCCACGGGCAGGTCCAGGCTGTGGGCCTGTTTCTTGAGGAACTCCACGCACTCGGCTGCAAGATTTAATCGCCTTGAGAAATGTCTTAAGGATCCCCAATGCTAGTCTTACTGTAGTCCACATCTGGCTGCACGGTGGCAATGCGCAAGTAGTCCCGGAAAATCTTGATTTCCTCGTTGTCCTCCCATTTTTGTGAGCTCATTTTGGGGCGATGTCGATTCTGTCAGCGATCCAACTCGAATGTGCGGCGCTCGCTGAGCTATGGGCTTATACAGGTATTTTCGTGTGGCTTGATTTTGCTTTTATGGCCTTGGTTTTTAATTATTATCAAATAATGAGTGCGCTATCAGCAACGTCGCTTACTGTTTCCAAAATGATAACCACATGTATTCTAGCTCGAAATGCTCCCAAAACAAATGTCTGATAGCAAACGGTGGCCACATTCGATATTGTTATAATAAATACAATACAAGCTTCACACGCCGAAGTTTATGTACCCTGTTGTGGTTTTACAATGCCTTGTTCTATATACTTATAAATTTGTGATTTAGTTTATGGATACTATTCTGCCAAGAATTGTATTTAATTAAACTCTAAATGAATTATAGAATAAATTATATGGTAATTTCTTTTTATGTTATTGATATAGAGTATTTAAGCCTAATTAAAACCTTATTTATTATTTTAAAAAATTCCAAATGTGTATTATATATATAAATTCAAGGAAATCCCCTTTACTATCAGCTTTTTCTTTTATTTGCATCGAACGATATGATTTGAGGTAATCATAACACTTAAACATTTAATTTCGGTCATAACACTCATCGACCCAAAATATTACTCACAAAACTGATATGAAATTTAAAGGTGATAAGGCAGCAAATCAAAGACTGAATTGTATCGAGTTAAAGGTATTTAATTCATGTTTGATTCATCAGGGGTGTTTGTGGTATGAACAGAGCAGTCCAAAGGCCAGTTCCACCGAATATTCTATGCGTCAGCGATGGCCGGGATGAGCTTCCTGTACACCTGAATGCCGTGCAGATAGGTATCGGCCCGCAGGTATTCATTGTGATTGTGCAGCAGCACCGGGGTGTGGTTGATGGGGGAGAAGCCCAGGGCCGGAATTCCGGCCTCCCGGACGTAGCAGCTATCAGTGGCTCCGGGGAAGACTCGAACGCGGGTTTTCAGGCCGCTGAAATAACAAAAACATTATTACCGGCACAAACTCATTAAGTCATTCCCCCTTCACATTTCATCCAGGCTCTGCTTGAAAGCCAGCCAGAAGGGATTGGAGGCGTCTATCTTGGTTGGTTCCACGAATGGGCATTTTAGGATAAAATCCAGCTCTACTCCACCGCCAGCCTCCTCGCACCAGTCACGAACCTGCTGCTCCAGCTCATCCACGTCCTGGGTAATGGCTATGCGAATGTCAAAGACTGCCTCCAAAAGCGGAGGAACCACATTGCTTTGAACTCCTCCCCCAAGCTGAGTCAGATTCACGGTGGTCACATCGCCAATGTCGAGAGATGGTTCTTTGGCCAGTCGTTGGACCTGGGACTCTCGGAACTGTAGCAGCTTATCCCACACATAGTGGAACTTCTCACCAGGAGTATTTTCTAGCAGCAACGAGCCGTGGCCGGAAGAGCCACTGAATTTCAGGCGAAGATCTAAAGGGGTATAGGATTAAGGTCTAATTGGCATTTCCCATTCACTAACACTCACGCCACAAAGTGCGTTCTGCATAGAAAATGGGGTATGACTCGTTCTCGCTGGCGATGCCCTCATCCAAGCTGAAGCCCACATTCATGTTCTTGAAGTAATCGCCTTTCACCAGCGCAGCCATGCCCATATCTCCGCCGGTCTCCTCGTCGGGCACATAAGTCAGGTACACAGTCCTTCTGGGTTGATAGCCACTGGCTTTCAGTGCCCGAATGGCGGCCAGATACTGACATCCCACTGACTTCATGTCCTGTGCCCCTCGTGCATAAATTCGACCGTCTTCGTCCATGTGGGCACCGAATGGGTTGTGTGTCCACTTTTCGGGAAACACGGGAACCACATCCATGTGCGAGTTCAAAATAATCGATGGCAGCTCGGGACACTTCCCCAACCACTTCATTATCACCACAGGTTTCGATGGCAGGACAGGAATAACCACATCGACTGGCAGGTTCAGGCTGCTGGCCTGTCGCTTTAGGAACTCCACGCAGGCAGCTGGAAATGTATATTAATAACTAATTATCTAGGAAGTATCAACAGTTCTCACTATAATCCACATCTGGATGAACAGTGGGAATACGTAAATACTCCTGGAATATTTTTATCTCCTCATTGTTCTTCCATTGCTCCGGGCACATTTTAAGCTGAAGTCTCCGCTGTAATAATCCGACTGCCTTGCAATGAGTGTCGTTACTTGGTTTTAAGTCTCAGTATGGTTTGACTTCTGAACGTTATCATTTGTTGACTCTGGGTTTGCAGCGATTAGGAGCGCTTGCATTTTGTGCTATTTTCCATCTCCGCGTGCACAGAATCTCAGAATCTCCCGTACTTTATTAATCCCGGAAAGCCAGGCGGCAACTTTGTTTTGCTTTTTATTATTATCATTCACACTGACATAAAATGATAAAAAAAAAAGAAAAATCAAATCCATCAAATCGATGGACGGTTTTTTTGATAAGCATTTAGTCTTTAAAAGGTACTTTATTGGCATGCCATTGGGACTTTGACCCACTGCTTTTACAGAGCTTTAAAAACATATAATGAAAACAATATAAAAATGCATAATTTCATTATGATAAATGTTGAAATCAGTTCTTCAGGAATCGGCCACAGCGGGAATGAGCTTCTTGTACACCTCGATGCCATGCAAATAGGTGTCAGCCTTCAGGAACTCGTCGTGGTCGTGAAGCAGGATGGGAGTGTTGTTAATGGGCGAGAAGCCCAGAGCGGGAATGCCTGCATAGCGCACATAACGACTGTCCGTGGCTCCGGGAAAAACTCGAACTCGCGTCTTGAGACCACTGCAAAATATAAATAATGAAAATCGAAGCTAGAGTCTTTTTTCCTTCATCCTTACAGGTCATCAAGAGCCTTCTTGAAGGCCAGCCAGTAGGGATTTGAGGCATCTATCTTCGTAGGCTCCACGAAGGGGTTCTTCATCTCGAACTCCAGCTCGATGCCGCCGCCAGCCTCCTCGCACCAGTCGCGAATCTGCTTCTCGAATGCGGCAATGTCCACGGTCACAGCAATGCGGATGTCAAAGACTGCCTCCAACAGCGGAGGAACCACATTGCTCTGCACTCCTCCCCTCAATTGGGTCAGGTTCACGGTGGTCACATCTCCTATTTCCAGGGATGAGTCGTCGGCCAGTTTCTTGACCTGCGATTTGCGGAACTCCATTAGCTTGCCCACCACATAGTTCAGTTTCTCTCCGGCTGTGTTGGGCAGCAAGAGCGATCCGTGTCCGGCAGTGCCACTGAACTTGAACTTCAGGTCTGTGAGGAAAGGGAAATATTACTCGTAACATCCAGAAAAAAAGTAATTCTGTAAAAAATAAAACCTACGCCACAGAGTGCGCTCGGCATAGTATAGGGCGTAGGTATCGTCCTCGCTGGAGATGCCCTCGTCGAAGCTGAAGCCCACGTTCAGCTTCTTGAAGTAGTCGCTCTTCACCAGTTCCCGCATGCCCAGATGGCCGCCCACCTCCTCGTCCGGCACGAAGGTCAGGTAGATGGTCCTCTTTGGCTGATAGCCGGATGCCTTAAGGGCTCGCACCGCTCCCAGATACTGCGTGCCCACGCACTTCATGTCCTGCGAGCCACGGGCAAAGATTCGGCCCTCGGCGTCCATATCGGCGCTGAACGGACCGTGGGTCCATTTCTCCGCGAAGACGGGCACCACATCGGTGTGCGAGTTGAGGATGATGGAGGGCAGCTCTGGCTGGGATCCCTGCCACTTGAGCACCACCACGGGATTCTGCTCGTTCACCGGATAAACGACCTCTACGGGCAGGCCCAGGCTGACGGCCTGGCGCTTCAAGAATTCCGTGCAGGCGGCTATAAATAGCAGACGTGTTTTATGGCATGGTCGTAAAGATCACGGCTCCTATCGCAGCCCCATAAAGTTTATCTACATATTTCGCAGACTCACTGTAATCCACGTTCGGATGAACCGTCGGTATGCGGAGATACTCGCGAAAGATCTGGATCTCCTCGTTGCTTTCCCACTTGGCGGCGGCACTCATCTTGAACTTGAACTAAACAAAGAGATAAGGGTGTAGCCGGTCGATAGTTTCATTAATTTGTTTGCCTAAACAAATCGCAGCGATCAGCTGATCGATCTTCACCACACCTTTCTCAAAACGGATCGCGGACGACTGTGGGGCCGTGGTGAGAAGCGCGCGTTTAAATATCAGCGATAAGAGCGGCCATAAAAATAGAGCCAAGCAGAAACTGGAACTTGGGTCTTATCGTGTGGTTTTCGCTTATAAAGCGTTTTATCAGAAGCAATTGTTTACATTTACATTTTGGTGGCTAATCTAAATAAGTTTTAATATGACAGGCATACAGACGTGAATATTTTATGTGTTTTCAGCACAAAACTGTGTCATTTCTTTTAATCAAAAGTGTTACAATTTTGGTTAAAATTTTCCAAAGAGCTGGGTTTTAAAACAAGTTTGAAAAAATGTCTTATATTGTGATTTTCTGCGCAAATATAAAATATGCATACATTTAGTTTATAATTCAAAGATAACTAAGCTTAAATCAAAGCCAATCGGTTCCTTTAATTATATATTTAATTAAAAAAGCTACAAAATAATGAGGAATCTGAATTCTGTATATAGAAATTATATGCAACAAGTAAAAAAACCTAGAAACTAGGACTCAAATTGGTAGATATTTCATGGCTCTCAGCACATGTTAACTCACTTTAAGGCTCATTTACTTGGCATTCCCTGCGGCTGATGGATTTATTTCCCCAGAATCGTGGCGAAAGTGCTCCGCATTGCTTTGGATTGAGGGTGACTCCGTTTCTGCCTTTGGCCCGTAGCCAAGATTTCCGATTACCGACTCGAATCGCATGCAATCACACTCCAATTCCAGTTGATTTGTTAATCAAGATGCAGGGCACACGTTGGCACCCGCACTTCGGCCAACATATCGCCCTGCGGGGGCCCTGTAAACAAGTTGCCAGGAGCCTCGGGGCCTCCACTGAACTCCCAATTTCGCATATTAATGTAGTTGCAGTTGCGCTTGCAGTGGCAATGCGTCCGCCTTTGGTCCTGTGTGTGTCAAAAGTTTGTTTTAGATTTAGATTTTACGCTTGTTTCGGGCGTTGCTCCACAAAAACGTGTCGAAAAAAAGCGGAGCTCTCGAAATGTAAGCCGAAGCCCTGAGATTTGTGTTGTATTGTACGAGAGTCAGGGGGGGGGACAAAGTTGATATTGTTTTAGTGTGTGTACTCGCAGAAAGTCATTAAAAGTTCATTAACAATGTTGCTGGGATTTTAATGGCGCACCAGCAGCAATAACAACAATAACAACTACACGCTACATATGTCTGCATTTTAAATAACACACAAGCACAAGTTACAATCACATGAAGAAATAAGGGTCATTTTATTTCAAAGAATTTATTTAACTAAAATAAATGAATGAACAAGAAATTGTATTATGATAACAAAATGTTTACTTTGACTTTAAATGTGCTTATTAAGATTTGAAGGTTAAAAAATTAATAAATATTCATATAAATAAAATAAAGTTACCCTAAAGTATGCAGGAACATTTTTAGTGCCACGTTTTTGTAGCATATTTTTTGCTATCGTAATATAAATTGCTCTTGCAATTATTTCTGCTCTTCCGCCTTTTCTGTTACAGTAAACAGTTGTATTTGACAGGAACATATTTATATTTCTCGCTGTGCACATAAGTCAAATAAACACACAAACTTCCTGCAGCTGGGCGTTGTGGGCGTGGCTGTTTGTCGATGTTGCTGCTCCTGCTGCTGTGTCGACATGTTGTCGCTGGGCAAATAAACTAAATGAAAATTTTGTATATTGTAACAATTATCCGAACAGCGCAGGAAACTGTTTGCGCTGACTGCTTGTTAGCTCAGCTCCAGGATATGGGCCGTTTTCGGGGAGAGTCCTAATCCGTTATGGGCGCCTTACCTGCCCAAGTTCCCGGAAATGCCTTAAAAAATGAACTGAGTTTCGGCTTTGGCATTCCATTACATTCTCTCTCTCTCTTTCCCTGTCGCTCTCTGGTTTATTCGGGAATTGCGTCCAAAGCCCCGACAAATGCGGCAGCAGGGAAATGTGGGCGGGCAGCTGAAGGACAATCCGGCGGGCATGCGTTCGCAACTCGCAAAGAGCTTCAATTTGTGTGCCAGGCATTAGGAGCATTCGCTTCGTGGACGCAGAAAAAAAAATGGTTGTTGAGCTCTCGGCAAGCACTTTAGCGCACTGCACTCACTGCCGACATCGATATGCAAAAAAGTGCTGGCCAACAGTGCGTATGCGTGCTGCGTGCGCAAGGCACAACTATGAGAACCCACTCGAAACCCACTTGCAGTCCAAAGTTGTGCGAATGTCACCAAAATATGGTGCATTCGGGCTGAAAATAGTGCGCTGAGCCATGCAAATTGGATGCGAGGGAGACACGAAAGCATCTGTAAAAAAAATGTGTGCTCACATAATTAGCAGATATAATTTAATTGATCGGCATTTAACGCTTGATTGACGCTAATTGATATACATAAACACACATTTTAAATAAAAATCCACCAGCTTAAACCGTAATGCTGCAACCTCGCATTCCGTATTTCCATAATTCAATCCCTCCGACTCCTGTTTGCTTTGGCAATTAATCGCATTCGGCGTTCAATTATGCAGCTACCAATAGCCTGATGCAATAAAGCAAATCAAATATTTATTCAAATGTATGTTTGTGGTAGCACATTACAATTTTGGTCTGGATGCGATTTCAGCCAGGGCAAATAATCAGTTTTGATGCTGCATACATTAAATGACATTCGATATGAGGAATATCAGGTTGAATCGTATTTTGAATCCAGCACTGAGAGCGTGTGAAGAATCTATTCGTATTTCATGTAATAAATGTAATTATATACCCCAGTTAAGCTGAAATGAATGAAATACAAATCAATCAAATTCGTCTTAACGTATATTTTAGCAACAGTTTTTCAAGCTTAATTTAAGCAAAGAATGTTATGCAATGCCATCAGCCTGAAGCCATCAAAAATAATTACAGAAATTCTCTTGGAATGAATAGAATAAGTAAAACCTATACAGAATAAATAACAGTCCCCTGGGACTCCTTACTTCGGCCTCTTGACGGTCTCTAAATACTTAC